TTGGGTCTCATGCTCTTCCATGTCAATTCACAGAATCAAGGAAGATAGATCTTTTAGTAATGGTAGATCTTGATAAAACCATATGGTTAAGGTCAAGGGATCGTTTGTCTAAAAGAAGAGGGTGCTTTACACAGGAAAAGATACGTTGGTTGAAATACTTTATTTGGACATTTAGTTTAGTTAAACTAAAAGCTAATGCTTTCCTCACTTTGCTGTGAGTTTATGTCAGGTGTATTCTCCAATGCTTATGAAAGACAGCTGAGAAAAATATTTCTTGAATATTGAGTAAACACAAACACATACGTGAACACATGTGTCAACCCTTAGTATCTATACATACACATTTAAAATTACACATTTTTGTCCTTAGAAGTTTATCAATTTTTTTTTTCTTTTTTGAAACAGAGTCTCACTCTGTCACCCAGGCTGGAGTACAGTGGCACAACCTTGGCTCAGTGCAACCTCTGCCTCCCAGGTTCAAGCGATTCTCCTGCCTCAGTCTCCCAAGTAGCTGGAATTACAGGCATGCACCACCACACCCAGCTAATTTTGTATTTTTAGTAGCGATGGAGCTTCACCGTGTTGGTGAGGCTGGTCTCCAACTGGTCTCGAGCCACTGCACCCGGTTCAAATAAATATTTTAAACCATGAACACTGAATGTCTTTCAATTTATTTGTCTTTTTATATTTTTCATCCATGTTTTCTAGTTTACAGTGTGTAAGTCCTTCACTTCCTTTTGTCTTTTTACATTTTTCATCCATGTTTTATAGTTTTCAGTGCATGAGACTTTCACTTCCTTAGTTTATTTACACAGATTGAATTCATTTCAATGCTATTATAAATGGGATTGTTTTTCTATTTTTTTCAAAAAATTTTTATTAGTATGTGTAAATGGAACTAATTTTTATGTTGATTTTATGTCTGCAACATTACTGATTTTTTATTAGTTATAACAATTTTTGTTTTTTGTGGACCCTGTATTTTTTTATTTATGTAATATTATATTATCTACAAACAAGGACAGTTTTACTTATTTCACTCTGATGTAGTTCCTTTTTATTTTATTTGCATGTTTAATTGCTCTAGCTATGTCTTCCAGTACTATTTTGAAAATAAGTGGTAAGAGTGGGCATCCTTGCTTTGTTCCTGATCTTAATGGAAAAGTATTACGTTTTTCTGTGTGTAATGTTATCTGTGTCACTCTCATAAAATGCCTACACTACATTTTAACTCTACAAGTACAGTAAATTCCCTATCCAAATCCAAATGACATTTTTTACAGAGAGAGCAAAGAACAATTCTAAAATATATGTGGAAAGAAAAAGGCCCTGAAGAACCAAAACAATGTTGAAAAAGAAGAAGAAAGCTGGAGGCATCACACTTGCTGATTTCAAAATATTTTAAAATGCTGCAGTAATTAAAATAGTATGGTAATGGCATACAGACAGATATGTAGGCCCATGGAACAGAGTAGAGTCTCTAAATAAATCATCTTAGTGATAAATCATAGGTAGTAAAATCATCTTCAACAAGGTTGCTAAGAATACACAATAGGAAAAGGATAGTCTCTTTAAAAACGGATTGGGCAAGGTGGCTTACGCCTGTAATCTGAGCACTTTGGAAGGCAGGGGCAGGCAGATCACAAGGTCAGGAGTTCGAGACCAGTCTGGCTAACATAGTGAAACCCTGTCTCTATTAAAAATACAAAAAATTAGCCGTGTATGGTGGTGTGCACCTGTAATCACAGCAACTCAAGAGGTTGAAGCAGGAGAATCGTGTGAACCCAGCGGCAGAGGTTGCAGTGAGCCAAGATGTGCCATTGCACTCCAGCCAGTACGAGACCCCATCTCAAAAAACAAAATGAAACAAACAAACAAAAAAAAATGGAGTGAAAACTCAGTATCTATATACAGAAGAATGAAAATGGCTTCTTTTTGTACATCATACACAAACACCAATTCAAACTGGATTAACAAGTTAAACATAAAATCTGAAACTGCACAACTCTTAAAAGAAAAAATAGGGGTAAAGCCTTATGACATTAGTCTTGATAATATTTAATCTGATATGACCCACAAATCCCAGGCAATAATAACAAAAATAGACAAATGGGACTATATCAAGTTATACATTTTTTTTTTTTTTGAGACTGAGTCTTGCTGTGTCGCCCAGACTGGAGTGCAGTGGCGCAATCTTGGCTCACTGCAAGCTCTGCCTCCCGGGTTCACACCATTCTCCTGCCTCAGCCTCCTGTGTAGCTGGGACTACAGGTGCCCGCCACCGCACCCGGCTAATTTTTTGTATTTTTAGTAGAGACGGGGTTTCACCGTGTTAGCCAGGATGGTCTCGATCTCCTGACCTCATGATCCTCCCGTCTCGGCCTCCCAAAGTGCTGGGAAAGTTATAAATTTTTAACGCAGCAAAGGAAACCATCTACAGAGTGAAAAGCAGCCTATGGAGTGGGATAAAATATTTGCAAGCCATGTCTGCTAAAAGGCTGATTTCCAAAATAAAATTCCTACAACTCAATAATGAAAAGAAAGAAGAAGAAGAAGGAGAAGGAGAAGAAGAAGGAAAAGGAGAAGGAGAAGGAGGAGGAAGAAAGAGAGAGGGAATGGGTAAAGGAGAAGGTGAGGGGGAGATGGAGGTGAGAGAGAAAGGGAGGAGGAGAGGAAGAAGGGGAAGAAGAAGGAAGGAAAACAAACATCAATAACTCAATTAAAAAATGGGCCTAGGCCCCGAGTAGCTGTTTCTCTAAAGAACTTCAAATGGACAATAGGTGTGTATAAAGATTCTCAATGTCACCAGTCATCATGGAAATGCAAATCAAAACTACAGTATGATAACATCTCATACCTGTCAGGATGGATATTTATGGAAAAAAGCCAAGGACAGAAAAGTATTGTTGAGGATGTGAAGACCTTTGAAACCTTGCACACTGTTGGTAGAAATGTGAACTTGCATAGCATCTACAGAATATAGTATAAAGATCCCTCAAAAATTAAAAGTAAAATTACTGCATGACCTAATGACCACACTTCTGAGTATTTATTTTAAAAATTGAAGTCAGGATTACAGATAAATGTTAGCATTCCTATGTGTATTGCAGCAGTATTCACAATAGCTAAGATGTGGAAACAATCTAAATGTCCATAGACAGAGAATGTAGAGAAAAATGTGGTTTATCATACAATGGGATAGTATTTAGCCTTTAAAAAAGAGATCTTGCAATATGCAACAACATGGATGAATACTGAGGCTGAATGAAATCAACCAGTCACTGAAGGCTGAATGAAATCAACCAGTCACTGAAGGGCAAATATAGTACTGCATGATTTCAATTAGATGAGGTATATAAAATAGTAAAATTCATACAATCAAAGAATGGAGTGGTTGTTACCAGGGACTAGGGAAGGTGAATGAGGAATTGCTAATCAGCAAATATTAAATTATCATAATGCAAAATGAGTAAGTCCTAGAGATCTGCTGAAAAACACTGTGTCTATGAATAGCAATGCTGTGTTGTGTAGAAATTTGTTTATAGGATAGATCTCATATTAAGTGTTCTTATCACAATAATAACAAAAATATATTTTCAACATTCACTAGATTAGACTTCTGTTTTCAGTATCATACCACTAGTGACAAATGATTGCCTCACTGAAATTATTTTTGTAGAGATTGTGCATTCACTTATCCATATAGTCTAACTATATCCTTGAATAGCATTGAATCACTATTAATTTAATCTTGTGGAAATTATTGTATTAAATTACATTTTAATTCAAGATTCCTGGGCTTCTGTTATTAATAATGTTTTGAATTTTCTATAATAAATTGCTCTAATAAGCTTTTTAAACTTGTGAATAAAACAATTACTAAAAACATGTTCATTATGCTTCTTAATGTAAGCACTATAGAAACGGTTCCATTTGACATTTAATATCAGGACAAACTTTGGAAAAATGATATTTGTACCTATTAGACAATGAGAGTATAAAATTAACAGTGCTTTAAAATTGTTAGCTATCTATCTAATCTATCTATCTGTCGATCTATCCATCTGTCTAGCTACTTGTGTACATATACTTTTCTATTTGGATTGCATGAAATCACATTAATTCTTCTTCTAGTAATTATAATTTTATATTGATTTAAAATTGCATATTAACTTGTCTGTTGAATTCTCAGCAGAGTTCTAAGAATAAATTGGTTTTAAACACTTAGAGAACAATAATCACCACTGGCATATATAAAATATCAGTGTCTTCACCTAAAATATTAAGTGTCAAAATTAATGCTAATTCACAAATGCTGTTTACTTTTACATAGACATTTACTTTCTCATACTTCAACTCTGTAATCGATTTTTAAAAATTTTAATAACTTTATATTATTTAAAACTTTTATTATGAAGCCACCTCAAATCCTTTTTAGAAGCTGATAGGGAATTTATGCTAAAGAAATATATAAATACTTTCACTTTCTCTGATATGACTCTATATCTCACTATACTTAATAAAAATAATTATCTATATTCACAAATAGGCTATGCATTTTATCTTGTTTTTCTGTTGAATTCTACATTTCCACACTTTTTATTTCCACACTTTTGTATTTGAACGTCACATGTTACAATGCAGGGAAGAATAAATTGGGATTACACTAATACTTGACTAATTCAGTTTTGGTTCAGAATCAGAAGGAAAACTTGACTCTCCTCTAATTGTTTGTAATTTAAGGGTTTAGAGCTAATAAAATATTTCATATTCAAATATATAAATCTTTTCATGCAAAGTGTTTTACATACCTTTTAAAGTTTATATAAATCTAGTATTTAATTACTAAATAGTCTACTTTTAAAATCTAAAAAAGTCCATTTGATGCATTACCTAATATAATGGTCATTTGAATTAGTGCTCTAAATATTTGTCTTTTTCTTGTAAGATTATTTCATGAACATTGTATTTAAATACATTTAATTTGAAATGTCTTCCAGAACATTATCAGCTATATGTTCCTGAGTCAGCTCAAGTTGGTTCAGCTGTTGGGAAAATCAAGGCAAATGATGCCGATACTGGCTCAAATGCTGACATGACCTACTCCATCATAAATGGTGATGGCATGGGGATATTCTCAATCTCCACTGACAAAGAGACCAGAGAAGGAATCCTTTCTTTAAAGAAGGTAAAAAGAACATACTTTTTGTGATTCAGGCAACTCACTCATCTTTTCCTGAATGGAAATTTGGCAGAGGTATGAATAATTCATGCTGTCAGGCCATTAAAATGATAAAATAGTGTCACTTTGTGATATAATTACATTTTAATTATTGTTTGTCAACTGTTTAGATCTTTTCTTCAGAAAATATATTTTGCTAAGGTGGGAAGATCTGATGTAGACTACACTAACAATGTTTCTCTCCATCTTTGTTTGTTTTGTTTCTAATCTTCCTGAAATGTCCCAATGATAATAGTCAAGAATTAAATAAAAGTAATTTCAATGAAGTGCAAAGAATCAAAGCATCATCATAATAAGGCTATGGTGATTATTTTATAGCCAGAGAGGATTGCCAAGGAGGCTGAGATATTTGCCATCTTAAAATGTACTCCAGGTGATTCTAGAGTAGAACTATTTAGAAAACAGGCTGAGATACTTTATTCTAATGTGCCTACTGTAGATGTTGATGTGAGTCTGTCATCTATCTATCTATTTATCCATCTGTCTAATTAGCCACTTGTATATATATACTTTTCTATTTGGATTGTATGATATCTCATTAATTCTTCTAGTAAGTATAATTTTATATTGATTTAAAATTGAATATTAACTTGTCTGTTGAATACTACCTTGGGGAAGTTCTAAGAATAACTTGATTTTAAATACTTAGAGAACAACAGTCACCACTGATATATATAAAATATCAATGTCTTCACCTAAAATATTTTCTCATTGTAAATTTTTTTTTCTCAGATTGTCAAACATAGGTCAAGGTGATAATGAAAAGAGACAATTTGCATATCTTTACTTAACAAATGTATTTATTTTGAGTTCCTTCAATGTGTCAGTTGCTATGTTCCACATGAGCTAAGCAAAGAATAAAAAGGATAAGTGTGGAGCAAAGGCAGACTCAGCCCCTACATGCACACAGCTTCTAATCTGTGGACGTGGACAGACATTAATTAAATATCACATACATTCCTAGATCAATAATATGTTTTCTGTGAAGAAGAGTTATATAGTGCTACAGGGGAAAAATCTAGAATATTTAATTCTTTCTGGTATTCCATAATAGTTAAAGAGAGAATTGAAAGAAGCCTGGGGGTGAGTTAGGTATAGACAGTAAGGATGACTATTTCAGGAAGACAGAAAATGTACCAAGTGCCTGAGGTGAGTGAAACATGGCATATTTAAGGGATCAAAATAATGTGACTGAATCCAGAGTAGAGGGAATGAGGAATGTGGTCAGTGGGTACAAGACCACACAAGGCCTTGTTTAATTTTGCTAAATGGAAAGCCATTGAAGAGATGTAAGAAAGAAGTGACTAGATCTAATTTGATGTCAAGATTTCTGATTGCTGAATTAAGCAACATGATGCCAAGGCTGTGTGTTAACTTATCACTGCATTCCCAACATCTAGCATTTTTTTCTGACACAGAGTTGGCATTCAATAAATATTAGAGTAATTAATGGATGATGATGTGGATACAAAGGTGAGAAGAGGATTGCCTGCTTTTCATTTTATGGGTAGCTTCTTTACTTAAAATAATTCAGGTAAATGGGATTAATTTTTTCTAAAATATTAATCCTGACAACTAGGGAACACTTATTTTAAGAAACAAGCATGAAAGGAAGGAAATATAATCTTGCAGGAAATCTTCAAATAATAGGAGAGAATGTTGGCATTGAATATTCCCAAGGGATGCTGTTCAGGAGGTAGCTAGTCATCAGAAAAGTAAACTGTTCTCAAAATTTAAAACAATTTTGGATTATAAAAATTAATTGGATTTGGCTAAAGGAAGTACAATTGACTGGGTGATTATCATTAGCAGGTTGTATTTGATCAACTTTAGGGTAAGCATCACGTGGCAACGAGGAGAACATATATTCTGTTGTTTTGGAGTGGAGAGTTCTGCGGATAACTGTCAGAATCTACTAAATAGGTATCTTCTGGAGCCAGAACTGAGTTCAGGTCCTAAATATCTTTATTACTTTTCTGTCTTGATGATCTGTCTCACATTGTCAGTGAGGTTTTAAGTCTCCCACTATTATTGTGTGGGAGTCTATGTCTCTTTGAAGGTCTCTAAGAGCTTGCTGTATGAATCTTGGTGCTCCTGTATTGAGTCCATATATATTTAGTGTAGTTACTTCTTGTTGAATTGAACCCTTTACCATTATGTAATGCTCTTCTTTTTGTCTTTTTTGATCTTTTTTGGTTTAAAGTCTGTTCTGTCAGAAACTAGGATTGCAAACCCTGCTTTTGCCTGTTTTCCATTTGCGTGGTAAATTTGTCTTCATCCCTGTATGAACCTATGAGTGTCTTTGCACATGAGATGGGTCTTTTGAAAACAGCATACCAATGGGTCTTGGCTCTTTGTCCAGCTTGCCACTCTGTGTCTTTTTATGGGGGCATTTAGCCTATTTACATTTAAGGTTAGTATTGTTATGAGTGTATCTGATCCAGTTATCATGATGCTAGCTGGTTATTTTGCACAGTTGTTTATATGTTTGCTTCATAGTGTCACTGGTCTGTGTATTTCAGTGTGTTTTTTAGGCTGATAACAATTTTTCCTTTCCATATTTAATACTTCCTTCAGAAGCTCTTGTAAGGCCAATATGGTGGTAATGAATTCCCTCAGCATTTATTTGTCTGGAAAGTATTTTATTTCTCCTTCACTTATAAAGCTTCTGGCCAGGGCAATCAAGCAAGAGAAAAAAAATAAAGGTATTCAGAAAGGAAGAGAGGAAATCAAATTTTATTTTTTTGCAGATCACATAACCCTATATGTAGGAAACTTCCTCGTCTCAGCCCAAAAGCTACTTAAGCTGATAAGCAACTTCAGCAAAGTCTCAGGATACAACATCAACATGCAAAATCACTAGCATTCCTATACACCAACAATAGGCAAGTCTGAAACAAATCATGAATGAACTCTCATTCACAATCACCACAAAAAGAGTAAAATACCTAGCAATATGGCTAACAAGGGAAGCAAAGGACCTATTCAAGAAGAACTACAAACCACTGCTCAAAGAAATCAGAGATGACAAAAACAAATGAAAAACATTCCATGCTCATGGATAAGAAGAATCAATACCGTGAAAATGGCCATACTGCCCAAAGCAATCTATAGATTCAGTGCTATTTCCATGAAACTATCATTAACATTCTTCACAGAATTAGAAAAAAATAATTTAAAATTTATATGAAACCAAAAAGCCTGAGTAGCCAAGGCAATCCTAAGCAAAAAGAAAGCTGGAGGCATTATGCTATCTGACTTCAAACTATACTACAGTGCTACAGTAACCAAAACAACATGGTACTGGTATTTAAAAAAAAAAAAAAAAAAAAAAAAAAACACAGACCAATGGAGAACAAAACAAAACCCAGACTTAAAAACTGCATACCTACCACCATCTGATCTTTGACAAACCTGACAAAAACAAGCAATGGAGAAAGGATACTCTATTTAATAAATTGTGCTGGGACAACTGGCTAGCCATATGCAGAAAATTGAAACTGACCTCCTTCCTTATACTACATACAAAAATCAATTCAACATGCATTAAAGACTTAAATGTAAAACCCAAAACTATAAAAATTCTAGAAGAAAAACCTAGGCAATACCTTTCAGGACATAGGTACAGGCAAAGATATCATGACAAAGAGGCCTAAAGCAACTGCAGCAAAAGCAAAAACTGACAAAGAAGGTCTGTTAGGTTGGTGCAAAAGTAATTGCGGGTTTTCACATTGCTTTTAGTAGCAAAATCACAATTACTTTTGCACCAACCTAATAATTAAACTAAATAGCTTCTGAAACTATCAACAGGTTAAACAGACAACCTACAGAATGGGAGAAGATTTGTGTAATCTATGCATCTGACAAAGCTCTGATATCCAGCATCTGTAAGTATCTTAAATATATTTTCAAGAAAAAAACCAGCTTCATTAAAAAGTGGGCAAAGGACATGAACAGACAGACACTTCCCAAAAGATGACAGTTATGCAGCCAACAAACATGAAAAGAAGTTCAACATCACTGATCATTAGAGAAATGCAAATCTAAACCACAATGTGATACCATCTCACAGCAGTCAGAATGGCTTTTATTAAAAAGTCAAAAAACAACATGCTGACGAGGTTGTGTAGAAAAAGGAACGCTTTTACACTGTTGGTAGAAGTGTAAATTAGTTCAACCATTCAGGAAGACAGTGTGGCAATTCCTCAAAGACCTAGAGGCCGAAATACCATTTGATCCAGCAATCCTATTACTGGGTATATACCCAAAGGAATATAATTCATTCTATTATAAAGACACATACACATCTATGTTTATTGCAGGACTATTCACAATAATAAAGACATGGAATCAACCTAAATGTCCATCAATGATAGACTAGGTAAAGATAATGTGGTGCATATATACCATGCAATACTATGCAGCAATGAAAAGGAACTAGATTAGAGTCCTTTGTGGGGACGTAGATAGAGCTGAAGGCCATTATTTAGGCAAACTAATGCGGGAACAGAAAACCAAATATGACATGCTCTAACTTATAAGTGGGATCTAAATGATGACAATACACGGACGCATGAGGGGAACAACACACACTGGGGCCTATAGGAGTCGGGGGTGGGAGAAGGGAGAGGGTCAGCAAGGATAGATAAGGGATGTTGGGATTAATACATAGGTGATGGGTTGATCTGTGCAGCAGACCACCTGGCACATGTTTACCTATGTAACAAACCTGCATATCCTGCACCTGTGCCACCGAACTTAAAATAAAAGTTGGAAATAAAAAAATAAAATAAAATGCCTTTAAGAAGAAAAAAAATAGTAGCAGCAACTAATATTTGTTAGAGTATTTCCTCTGTATCAAGACAGATTTTAAGCACATTGAAATGTCTTGATTGAGTTAATATACCCATAATTGTCCTTTTAATTCTTACTGTGACATTTTGAGA